GTGGACATGACGTGTAATGCAGATCAAAGTTACAAACGTCACGTAACATTTGAGATTTTCTAAATACAAATCAGCTACGTGATATTTCACGTAAATCGGACGTGAAGATTTTTTAGAGTGTAGTACCAGAACTGAGCCAAAAAGTTGAGCACATTTTTTCGGGACCTTCTGGTCTTATACCCCGTTCACATTACAGCCTATATCACGTAATATAGGCTGTCTTGCAATTAGCACTCATACATAGGAACTTTGATGAATTTTAGAGATTTTTTCAGCGCTGGGTAGGCGTCCCAAAAATCGGTAGGACTACCGATAAATTGGAAGGTACTGCGGTTTTTGAAGCCGGCGAAGCTATATCAAGCTGAACATTGCATTAGGTCCTAAGTAACATTAATCGATTCTCTTCGTCGACTTTCTCTTTCGTTAATAACTTGAGCACATAATCGTTTCTTGTTGTGTTTATCGTATTAGATGCTAGATAAAAACTAGTTTTATCAATCTGTGTGCTGAAAATACCTGGGAATGTATTGACATGGCCGTGGGGAGAAAGACGATGAAAATAATCTGTCAATGTTACTTAGGACCTAATGCAATGTTCAGCTTGATCTTTTAGGATTTAGCACCATCAATTTTCCGGCCGTCGGTACATCCCCGCTGGACAGGGGCTCCCACGGACCTCCTACATAGGAGCCTTGTTTTGTCATGGGTTTTCTTAATTTGTACCTTTTTGGTCTGTCTTTTTCGTATGCTGTTTACTGTGTTATTGTACTAGTTGTTTAAACTTTTAGTTAAGTAGATAGTGGAATGTTGAAGTAGCATGATATTCAAGCAATATGGCTGGGGGACGTCTTTCTAAGGCTTCCCATCTTTTACCGAGATGAACTAGTCTACGACTAAAAATCTCTTTAAATAAAGTCATTTTCATTTTCGTTTTCATTTTCAAGCACAGAAGGGGGTCATAGGGCCAAGTCACCAGCGAAAAATCGCTGTCCATACTGCACCAGGGTAGAGGTATAGATTTGGCATCACAGAATAATAACCACAGGGGTCAAATGAATCCTGTTTACGATACCGGATAGTAAGGAAAGCTGTTGAACATAGGGGATAGTCAGAGTAACAGCAATAATAGTGAAAGTTAGGAAAATAAGCAGGTAGAGATGGTTGATTTGCAATGGCTATCGACTCTGTTATATGGCCTACCGTATCAGATTCAAATTTAATGTCGTTTAATATTGCGCTTATTACTTTTATCTTTATTCTAAGCAATCTCCTTTCATACTTGTTTGTTTTAAAATGAACTGGATGAAATGATTGTTTTATCAAAATTATGTTAAAGTTAACTACTATTCATATTTGCTAATTAAAACCTAAATGTAATTTTTAATTTTATGAAGATAAGTTGCTCAGAATAGCAGCCTGTAATTCCGTACCAGAATCCGCCTCCAATTTAATGTCTTTTGTGGATTCGTAGTAGCAAAGTTTTGCTAAAAGCTAAATAGTTACCTAAAAATACTACCTAAATCGTTCACAATCAGAGCCGGGCAACTGATGAAAACCAAAACTACAACCCTGAAAAAACGAATCGATATTTTCGAAGGCGAACACAACCTATTCTTGCTAGTGATTCTGTCCAATTGTTAGGTATCCAAATTATAGTCATTCGTAAATTTATTATTGAATATATGGATGAATTATCTATTATTGAATAACTATTATTTACGATAATTACATGAAAGAAATAACATATAAACTACAAACAAAACGTGACTACTAAAATCTCAAAAAGATATTCTCACAAGTATATTTCACGCAACCAGGAATCTCAAAACCATTAGACGCTATAATGATACTCTGCACATGTTAGACACAAGAAAAGGCCAAAAAGCAAGCGTCCGATACACAAAACCCGCCAAATCCACTGGCAGTCACAATCAACGATTCTACGAATCGCGAGCGCTCACGAATCATAAAACCGCTGACTGCGACACTCTGAAAGCGAAATTGACAGGCTCTATGCGTCAAACACCCGCCCTCCAATCTCCTCCCGCATCCAACAACACAAACCTCCATTACAACATCTAACGAATTCAAAACTCCGAAAATCACTCATCTATAGAAAGTGAGTGGAAGCAACCCTGCATGCAACTATTCTTCATGATACGCTTTGTCTGTCTATCTTTCTATTAGGTCTGTGGACATGTGTTAGCTTCAAAACTTCTAACCAAACTAGGAAAATTTTGAAATCACAAAAAAAAAAATTCAAAGGTAATTACAAGCAAAATACATATTGATTATTTTACGCAAAACCGAGCAAGTAATATTAAATCTCTTGTATTGTATGCTAATGCTAATTGACTGTAACAAAAATAATATGCTTGAATAAAATAAAATATTAATAAAATTATATTCAAAATTTACTAGAAGGTCATTACTTTATTGGTGAGAAGTTTCTAATAAGCCCTCCCAGTTCCTCTGTATACAGAACAAATCTGATACTATAATCAGAATTGCTCAGTCTGCATGAAGCAGCCGATTGCATCAAGGAAGTTCTATTAACAACCAAGAATTAATCGTTTGAGGTATACTGAAGCATTAAGAAGGTGATATGTGTCACTATGGGAAATCATCATCGTTGCAAATATAAAGAAATTAAACATAACCCTTTGCTTCAGTACCGTCAACCTCCATGTCCATGGGGAGGGACTAAAAATCTCTTTAAATAAAGTCGAACAAAAAAAAACAATACAAAATAATTTTTTTATGTTATTATATTTTTTTTTAATATTTAAAATTACCTTTCATTTGATATTTTGATCTTTGAAATTGGCCCAGTGGTTCAAAAGTTATGACTTTTTTGAAAAAAAAATCATTTTTGAAACAAAAACTTTTTGGACCACCCCGACATGGAAATGGTCACCATAATGACAAAAAAAAACGGACCTAATATTTTGCGATAAGGAACAAAACAACCCGGTCCGATCTAGGGATTTTACAGGTTGAAAATTTTCTTGTTTTCCTTGATTTGTTTTCCGTCGATCTTGTTTTCCGTGCTGAGCACCAATGCTACCGACGCCAGGGGAGGCAGCTCCCACACCTGGACCCTACCTATCGACCCATCAACTCATGAACCGGGGACCAACGGCTTTACTTCCCATCGGAAGGAAGGCGTGATCAGAGATGTTATGCCTCAGAACATCCCGGCGGCGCCGACTGGGATTGAACCCAGGCCTGCTGGGGTGAGAGGTAATCACGCTTACCACTACACCACCGGCGCCGCTATGGTTGTACTTGCCACACAATTATACTAATGCAAAACTGGTACAGGGATCGAAAGCTCTCAATTAACAACTGTGGAAGTGCCTCTAGAACACTAAGTTGAGAGCACGCAATAAGCTTATATACGATGTACAATAAGCTTGAAATGCATTGAAGAAGAAAGACTATATCGTTTTGCTATGCAATGGCTGTATATATGGTTCTGAACTACGTTATCATTGTTAAGGTTACGCGACGCCACTGATCCGGGTACCTCCGAAGAAGTGGTTAGTTTTTGACTGGGGCCAAAACTCATCTTGCGGGACCTCAAATTGGATCAGAACGCAACAATTATATTAATGACAGCCAAATCGAGTGCCTAGGACCACATTGGACACATTCGGATACCTTGGCGAAGTGGCCAGTTCATGACTAGGACTCAGAACTCAAAAAAAAAAGATCAATGACAGTGAAATCGATTAACCAGGCCCACATTAGCCACAGTCAGCCATGCTGCGGGTACCCTGAGGAAGTGGCCAGTTTCTCACTAGGACCAAAATCCATCATGGGACACATCAAATCGAATCTGAATGCGAAAACAAGATCCTGATCGAAAGGAGACATATCGAGTGTCTAAAATTGCATTGGTCACATCCAGGGTTTCCCATCATACGACAAATAAAATTACATTAGAACTTTAAAACAAGCTCATTGCTGGCCACATAAAGAACTCTGGACCACATTGGCCTTGACAAGTTCCGACGACATCACCAGGAAAGTTGCTCAAAACTTGACTAAGTAAGAAGGGTCAGATCTCACCATAGGTGAATAAATTCAGGCTGCTCCAAATGGGAAGGATCAGGTACTGGACTTGAAATCTACTATCTGACTACGGACGCTGTCATACAAATCCGGATGTCGAATCAAGCCCTTTTCAATGCACTTGAAATCGACGCTTATTTTTTTTTTGCTGGGGCATTTCCTCTTACTAAGAAAATTTGCGAAACATTGAAAATTATTAACACATAGGGAAATTTTAGCTCTCACCCTGAAAAATGTCTAGCCTCAATTTTCAGTATATAGGACATATTTTATGAAAACCATCAAACATCGTGGCAAAAGTTGTTTGTTGGATCAAAATGTGTATTTCCAAACTTTTGCACAACAATGTAATTGCTTCACAGTACGCGTATTGCACCACTTTCCATTGTCCATGTATGTCTATTATTTAACCGATCGAAAGCGCTTCACACACCGCATTCAGTTGAATCGAATCCATTGGATCGACCATTTGTGTTGTAAATAGTAGTACTCTCCCAAAAAAAATGGGTTCCACAGAGTCGCGCCCGGAACGAGTCGGTCTACTCCGAGGATATTACGACATCGATGAAATTGGCCAAAGTGCATCGTCCGCCCATCTGAGCCGGATCCGCCGGCAAGCACAGTGTGCCGTGTGCTGTTACAACTTCTGCACCAACTGCCGACTGGTGTTCACCTGGAAGTTGATTCTGGCCCTGATCATCATGGCAGCCATAGCCATGATTATGTGGTTCAACAAGGACACCCTGGAAGAGTACTTTTACCGCAAAGACCACCGCGGTGTGCCCGTTTGAGCAGCGAAAACTCAAAACTTTGTGTACGTGCGATCGAATGAATAATAATTGTGATGATATGACGATAATTGTGTGTAGAATAAAGACAATGGATCTGATCTTTTACGTTTGACTTTGAGTTTCGGTACTTACATAGCCATCTCCATCCAGACAGGACGCAATCGGTTTCAGCTCCGTTTTCACCAACTCCCAGGCGGCTTTTGAACTCTGTCCGTCGCACATGAGAATCGATTCCCCCAGCACGTCGCGACCCTTCCGCCCGGCTCGGCCTATCATTTGCCGATAGGTCAGTGAGTTCATCACCGATCCTCCGAACATGGGCGTCCGAATAATCACCCGCCTAGCCGGCAAATTCACTCCGCTGCTCAATGTACTGGTTGCCACAATCACCCGCAGGGTCATGTTTTTGAAACAACTTTCAATGATGTCCCTCTCGTCTGCCGTCAGCCCCGCATGATGATACACACACCCGTAACGAGCAGTTTTCCCTAACACCGCGTCCAACCCCGTGGGGCAGTTCCTCAGCAACACCAATGCTTCTTCCAACTTTTCCCGATCAATTTCCTTCCGTAGCCGTTCGCCCAGCTCACTCTCACTTTTCAACGTCCGATAGACAAACTCGGCCAAATGCAGCGTCAACTGTTCGCACCGATCCTTAGAAGGACAGAACACAATCACCGAACAACCCTCCAGAATCGTCTCCAAGCACAGCTGTGCCACATTGTCCTGATCGCGCATGACCTCCTGATACTGATCCGCATCCAACTTCCTCACCAATTTCTTCTGATTGTCAAATACACACGTCCCCAACTTAACCATCTCCCTCAGCTCGATCGGTCGGTAATCCGTTCGAAATTGTTCCGCCTGCAGCCAGTCGACCAGTAGTTCCATATTCGGCAACGTGGCTGACATGCCCACGATCTGAATCCGTTCGCCCTTCATTTGGCACACAAAGCGCACCTTCGTAAGCAACAGCTCTAGGATGTAACCGCGGGACTGATCAGATATCAGATGAATCTCATCAACCACGATAAGTCCAATGTCGGCGAGTTTGCGCTGTTCCAACAATCGATTAACAATCGAGTTGGCCTTCTCTATAGTGCACACGGCGACGTCGACGGTGTCGAAACCACCCGGCGGATTGTGGCCACCGAAGAAACCCTCAACGCGTATTCCGGCCGGAGAGAGGATTTCCTGTGAATGTGTAGGTAATTAGCATTTGTTAAACTATCAGATCTCAAAGAAAGGGCCTGGAGCCCCCATCACCCACCTGCATGTAGAACATCTTCTCCCGAGCAACCGCCACGAATGGGAGTATGACGATCGCCTTGCGTTTCCTCTCGACCACCGTCTTCGCCACTAGAAACTCACTGACCATCGTTTTCCCACCGGAGGTCGGTGCACTGTAAACCAAGTTGGCACACTCGAGAATCACCCTCGGATTAGCCAGGCAATCCGCTTGCCACTGAAACAGTTCCGTTATGCCTTTTCGGGCGTAAGCCTTCGTGATCGGTTCCGGCAGACCCCAGTTGGCCACCAGGCGAAGATTTTTCGACGTGTTGAGGGACATGGATTCGTGGCCCGCTTCGGGAGATCGTGCTTGTCGTTGAGTCGCCCTTTGCCTCGGCATCATGAAGCTATTTGAAAACGTGTGGTTCTGCGTCATGGAGAGGGTTGTACTGATACTTGGAACTTGGGATTCCATTAGAGCTCCAATAACCAACTCCTTAGAACTTTCGATTCCCTTTGTTAAAAATTTATCCATTTCATGCCCCATGGAATCCATCGAAGGCATTTGTGCGAAGGTAACATTTTCCACCGATAGAGGAACTTCAATCCGCTCCGAGGGGTGTTCACTGTCCGACTCGACACGAAGCGATTCTTGAAGTTCGGAGAACTCCCTCAACTCTTCGTCACCTAAAGCTTCGCGGAAATAGCTTACCACCAGTGGCTCCACCGCTTTCGGTTCGTCAGGAACGTCCATCGTAAACGCACTCTGCTCAAACATGTTGGAATTTACCACACTTTGACTGCGTGGCTGTAAATCCAAGGAAAAGTCAGTGCTTCCAAACATGTCCTCAAACTCGTCGCTTCTACGGGCAATCTTTGGCTCTGATGGATTACCTTGGACCTCCTGGTTTTCATTTTTATGACCAGATAGTTTCTAGAAAAATACCAACATTTACTACTCCACGCAACTTAACTCATCCCAACCGATCTTACCGGCACTTCGAAGCTCAAATCCGACTCCAACAGCTTAGAGATATTGATTTCTTTCTGCTCAATCCCTTCCTGTGCTCGCCCGGACAACCCATCGAAATGGACATCACTCCTCAGCAGTTCAGAGTCGATCATATCGATCTGATCGCGGCTTTCACTGCGTGCCTTCGATTCCGGCAAACTCCTCTGCCGTTCCTCTACTTTTGACACAATCGAATCGGACTTGTTTCGGCGGAATCCTTTCCGCGATCGCGAACGCGATTGTGTTCCGATCGTTTTCAACCGCTCGCGAACACTTTTCTGACCGGTAACGCTACCTCCGAAGCCACGGGTGGCATTGTTCGTCGGAGATTCTTCAATCACTTCCAATAGCTGCTCGTCGCTGCTTTGGCGTGTTTGGACTTTGGTCTGGCTAGAACGGGTCGTTCGCCGACTGGCGGCCCCGGAAGACTTTTGGGGCGGCGTAGATAGCGGCCCAGGTTTCTGAGCTGCTTGCTTTTCGATCGTTTCCAGGGTGTTTTCACCCAAGAAAAAGGACTGAGAGAACTCCGACATGATTTTTTAGGTCATTACACAAAAAAGGGTATCACAAATTAACTATTAGAACGAGTTTTGGTTGAAAATTTACCAAAATAAAATAACTGCAAAAATCCCAACTGGCGACGGCGACCGTTAGCTTGATGTGCTGCACTTGCTTGTTTTCTGTTTTGATCCGGTTGTTCGAATTTGTGCGCCCACTGTTTCGGCCCTTCAGAAACTTCATCGAAAAAAAAAACAGTGCTGCCGAGATCAGCACCGTTGGCGCATCCACTGTTTAAAGGGCAAAGGCCATTCAAATATAATGTACACGGAGAAAAAATACTACCCAAAATTTGAGTTATTTTTACTTAATATTGACTTTAGCCTCTCACTTGCACTCGTTATTGTTGTCAAAAAAGGAACAAGAGATTCGACCCAACGATATAGTTCAGCCCAATAAGTTACTCTTGAGTAAATTGCATATTCTCAAATTTACGTGAATTAAACTTAATTTTGGGTAGCATATACTTAAGCGTAGGTATTTTTTTTTGCTGATGTTAAATGGAAACTACTAGAGTCGGTGTATAATGAGTCACGCCAAGAGAAAAACAGTTGAACTCGCATCACGGTTTTCGAAAGATTCCCTTTCTTTTCACTTGGCAACAGAGGACTTCTACATCAACTTCAAATGACTTCTAGCGAGAAAAAAAAATAGCGGCTGTAGTAAATCATTATATCAGTGATTTAGTCAAATTATCTCAACCAAAAATAGTAGAAATTCTCATAAGTTATCATTACCAAACGTATCCCATGACAATTTATTGCTCACTGCGAGTTTATGATCATTTCTTCGATTATATTTTATATTTTATTGCAATAGCTTTCGTGGACCTTTCATAGCATCGTAATGTTTGTTTACTCTGCACGATAGGTAGCCGGTTTGACAGCTCAATAGGTAGACTTGGCTTCACTCTTGGCGTGACTCATTATACACCGACTCTAGAAACTACTATATGCGATTTACTCAAATTTAGCTTATTGGGCTGAACCCCGGAATTGAGGGAAAAGTACTTAATTTTGGGTAGTTTTTCATCTCCGTGTACACTGAACTGCAGTCTTTTTTACACGTTTTTTTTTTACGCGGTTTTTTTACACGGTTATTTTTACACGGTTTTTCGCAATTTACACGGTACGTTTTTAACGATTTCTCCGATACAACCTATCGACTCTATTTCAATCACATTATCCGTTTAAAGCTATAGGTAATCGAATGGCATACTTAGAAAAAAAAAATCACAATTTTTGGTGTAAATACAGAAATTTTTAAAATATGTATATATGGACCATAGCATGCTATAATTACAAATAGCATCAAAATCCGATTTTTTAAAAACATTTAAGCACTAGGGGCATCCCACTCTAAACTTTAGACCTAATATCAATCAAATATTTTTAAATCCCCCGTAAGTATTCTTAAGTATTTTTCAGTATTTTAAACCAATATTTTATTTTCATCGTAGTAACACTTGTTTTTCATGTTGGGTTGCTAGTGTAGTTGTTTTTTGTTGACTTGTTGTATGCTAGATAGAGCCCTTCGTCATGCATTTTTACAAATTCATATGAAATTTCATGTTAATGGGTAAGTACTTTTATTATGTCTACAAATATAATAACTTAATTTATATTTTTCAGCGATTCACAATGTAGATGTGAGGAATTAAAAACGTGTCGCAAAATCATCCGAAGGAATTCAAGCTGACCAAACAAAGTCTTCGTGAAGGAAGCGCTGCTAAATCGGCAGGAGTGCGAAAACGTCTGATCGAAAGAAGGAAGAAAGTTTGACGGTCTTCAGGGTGTCTCTATTGACGAAAATGTTCCATTAATATTATAATAAATAATGTTAAACAATGTATTGCTTGTTTTGGATTATACGTAGGAAAAACATAATAGTTAAATCGGATTATTTTAAACATTCCCATAATAGTTTCATGTTATCGTTTGACCATACCGCTACCGTTGTTTCGAAACCAACGAACAATTTTAGCTGAAGGTTATGTAGCCAATTGGCTGATACAGCTATTTTTTACCTGTATAAGTTAGTCTGCAGCTAAAACTGTTTGTTGGGTAGTCAACCATTATATCATACGTCCAAACCGTATTTTTTTTTTACAAAAACTGATTAAGAGATCATGGAGTTCATAATCGATAAGGGATATAAACTATATACTCCCGGGAAGTTAAAAGAGAGCTCTGCTGAAAACATAAAACGGTTCAAAATAATTTCCACCTTTGGATCAAAAGGACATCTCGCTTTGATCGTATTCAGGTAAGATGTAAATGTACTCCATTTAGAAGGTGAAAAGCCAAGAACGATTAGTTACAAGATTTGTCTAATTTTTATTTCGCTTAGATTAGGCTATAACCACGTAGTCATTGTCACTCGGGCAAGAATCTAGCGGACGAAAAAAAAAACAATTATATCCTCCATTATAACGAGATAGGAAATAAAAATGTCAGGATTCTAATGTCTATCAGACCAGAATGAATTCCTTCTGGAACAGGACGAACAGATTATACTGAAAACGGTCCGTGACATATACCCAGCTGCTCCGCTCACGCTGTTAATAAAATGAACGTTAATTTCTTAACAAATTTTCCAAAATCCACACAATTCTCCTGACATTAGTAAACAAACAGATGAAATCCTTATAGCAACCGAACAAATAATAGAATGCTAGATATTTTTTTTAAGTATTTGTAAGTATTTTTAGGTATCTTAGATATCACTGAGAACTTTTTTGGTATGCGGGAAAATACAAAGTTTAGAGTGGGATGCCCCTAGTTCAAGCATGTGAAAAATCAAAATCTCGTAGGTTTTTTTTTACACGGTACGTATCCCCCGTGTAAAAAAGACCTGAGTGTAATACAAAATTGCGTTACACGGTATTCCCGTATAAAAAGGTATTGACACAGTTTTCATTGTACCTTGGTTATTTTTTTACGTTACCATAAAATACAATTTATTCCATTTACAATAAATCGTATTGTCTCCAACGATAAAAATAAACATAGAATTTATAGTTTCCACAGTAGTTTCTATGGTAAATTTGGAAATCTACAATAGATCAGAGGGGTTGTTACTAAGGGCACGCAATAACCTTTAGCTTGGACGCAGGGAACGGCTGTAATTAAATTGATTCCATTAACTCCTGCTTTAATTACATTAATTACACAGTGTAGAACATAAACTACTTTTTAAGTCCATTAATTACAGACGAAAATTTCGTAATTAAAGCGAGAGGCGAACAACTTCATAAATTAGCTGAATTATAAATACACACTGCAAAAAATACACCAAAATATACATAAAATACGTTTATATGTACACGTTAAAACTAAAATACCTTAAATGAAATACAAAAAAATACCTCGAAAATGCTTTGTACACAAAAAAAAAACATTTCACAATAAATTTAATACACTTCAATACACAAATACACACAGCCTTGGATTTATATTAACTGAGTAACATTTGAAAGCTATGATAGAACTTAAATCACATCTTGAAAACTCGACTTACGTATCCTGACGCTGATCCATATTGAGGAGCTCATACTAGAGCTCATATGCCAAAATCAAACCAAGCTGCCAGTGGGATCACTGCTTAATTTTTGTCTCTTGGAGCTTAACATCTAGGGCAGGACTCGGTTGCTGTTGCTTTCTGATACTTTGAGAGTGTTCTTCTGTGGATCTTTGTACACTATTTCTCATTTGATCCCGAGCGTGATCCCATTGGTCAACTGCACATATCAGCCAATCTGTGACTGGTTACAAAGCTGTTGGGTCCTACCCAAGCTTATCATGCTTGCAACGCCGTTAATTGTTAATAAACTGAACTATTCAGAATTGCATTAAAAAAAAATAATAGTACCACTTAAATATTTAACATATGTATCAATAATTACCACTAAATTAAACAATTAAAGAAACCATCAATAATTTAGGTTGTTTTTATTATTGTGGTATGGACGTGATAGTTTAACCATAGAGATAACTCTAAGGCTGGTAGGTCCCGAAGAAACGTGCTCAACTTTTTGGCTCAGCTCTGGTACTATCTTCGGTCCCAAGCTAATCGATGCACCCCTCGAAACATAGGAAAATCCACGAACCCCTCATTTTATCTGTCAAACTTTCAAAACAAACATTGTGTAGTACTAGAATTTTGACTACAATGGGGTACGTTAATCGCTTTGCTTGGGACCAATAGGCTAGTCAAGTAGAGAGCCAATTTATAATCGTTAGATTCCATCGGTTGGTTTAACTTCCAGCTGATCAAGTTGTCATCTCGGTTGTCATGGTCAAGTAATATATGTACAAACCGAGGTACAAACACAAAATGCAAAGGGCAGGAACAAAAAGCTGCACCCGTTTATCAAGATTGCGCCCATGACAGTGTTGAAATTATTTTGTTCGGTGAATGATTAACTGAGCTCTCTATTATAATTATTTCTCTAAGTCTAAATGCATATATGGATGTACCATACATATTGTCGCTGCACTTTTCTTTGTGTACAATTAACGGAAAACAGATTATACGTTGTTTCTGATAGACGTCACCGCAATCTACAGCAGTGGAATCTGATGGAAAATGATTGACAAAATGGTTAATTGGACGGAATTTTGTATGTCACCTTTATAGATAACTATCACACGACCCAAGGGGTAATTAACTCTGCACACTGTGCCAAAACACAGCACGGCACACTGTTCGGCACGATAGGGCAAACTTTGACTAGTAGCACACAAATTATATAATATAAAATGACATCACTGTTGAGTGTTGACGTTTTGCCAATCGTTGCTAAGGTTGGCTACTCGGTTGAATACTTTATTTACTCAAAAGTGAAGCTAGTGAGAGAATTTGTTGTCATATATAAAAAAAGTAAGACAACGATTCAATCAAGAATTTAAGAACGACAAACCGGTTTCAAGGATCGCTCTAAAAAAATCTGTGAGTATTCTATGACTTATTTTTTATGTTTTGTGCTAACGTAAGAACTACACGACATTCACAAGACGCGACGCGAGAC